TTTTTTTTTTTTTTTTAATATTGAGACAATCGCACTTTGTCACCCTGGGTAGTGCGCCATGGCATCATAGCTCACAGTAAACTCTTGGGCTCCAGTAATTCTCTTGCCTCAGCCTCCCTAGTAGCTGGAACTACAGGCACCCACCACAATGTCTAGCTATCTTTTTTTTTTGTTTGTTTAGCAAGCCCAGGCCAGGTTCGAATGCACCAGCCCCAAAGTATGTGGCCTGTCCCTAACCATTGCCAGCCACTGAACTATGGGGAAACCAGCCTCTTTTTTACTACTTTTATTTTGTTTTTTTGAGATAGAGTCTCAAGCTGTCACCCTAGGTACAGTGCCATGACGTCACAGCTCACAGCAACCTCTAACTTCTGGGCTCAAGCGATCCTCTTGCTTCAGTTTTTTTCTTTTCTTTTCTTTTCTTTTTTGGAGATCGAGTCTATGTTGCCCTGGGTCAAGTACTGTGGTGTCACAACTCACAGCAACCTCAAACTCTTGGGCTTAAGTGCTTCTCTTGCCTCAGCCTCCCAAGTAGCTGGGACTATAGGCGTCCACCACATGCCTGGCTATATTTATTTGTTGTTGCGGTCATTGTTGTTTTAGCAGGCCTGGGCCAGATTTGAACCCACTAGCCTTGGTGTATGTGGCCAGCGCCTATGGGTGCCGCCAGGTTTTTCTATTTTTAGTAGAGACAGGTACTTGATTTTGCTCAGGCTGGTCTCTAACTTGTCAGCTCCAGCAATCCACCCATCTCAGCCTCCCAGAGTGCTAGGATTACAGGCGTGAGCCACCATGCCCACCACATTTGCCTTTTTCTAATGTGCTTTAAAATACAATAACTATTATAGATATTGACAAATTAAATCAACCATAATGGAAAAAAAGAACCTCAAACAAAATAAAAATAAATGAATCTAACTGTATCAAATTGATTCTTAAAATTACACACAAAAGGCTGGGCGTGGTTTTTTCTTAAGACTGAGTTGAAGGTTGCTGTGAGCTATGACATCACAGCACTTTATCCACGACAGCTTGAGACTCTATCTCAAAAAATAAAAATAAATATAAAAAAATAGCCGGGTGTTGTGGCAGGTAACTGTAGTCCCAGCTACTCAGGAGACTGAGTCAAGGAGATCACTTGAGCCCAAAAGCTTGAGGTTGCTGTAAGCTATGACATAATAGTACTCTAAGGGAGAGACTGTCTCCAAAAACTAAATAAATAAAATAACACAAAAAAACCCAATTACTCCAAATATATTTTTAATACCCTGACTATCCTTTAGTAGCAGGTAATTCAAGAATAACAAACTAGGCTCGGCGCCTATAGCTCAACCGGCTAAGGCGCCAGCCACATACACCTAAGGTGGTGGGTTCGAATCCCCAGCCCAGACCCGCCAAACAACAATGATGGCTGCAACCAAAAAATAGCCGGGCGTTGTGGCGGGCGCCTGTGGTCCCAGCTACTTGGGAGGCGGAGGCAGGAGACTCGCTTGAGCCCAGGAGTTGGAGGTTGCTGTGAGCTGTAATGCCACGGCACTCTACCCAGGGGGACAGGTTGAGGCTCTGTCTCAAAAAAAAAAAAAAAAGAATAACAAACTACAAAAAACATCTTGAACTTACATCATATCTTTGTTGGTGGTGGTGGTATTAGTATAGTGATTTTTGAAACCTTTTGTTCGTATCATAGAACAAATGAATAAATATACATGTCAAAAATGAATTATTTACAGAGAAAGGATATAAATATGAAATGGAACAAGATGAGAAATAATCAGTAAGTACAATTTGGATTAGAGGTACCAGTACAAACTTGTGATTTAAAATATATACATATTTCCTAGTACAAAGTTGTGATTTAAAATATATACATATTTCCTAGTTCTCTCCACAAAAGAGCATAGAAGAAATGACATCTCAATGGCCATGAATAACACCTAGATCTTGATAACTAACACCCAGATCTTGATTTTTAAAATACCATTCCTTAATAAAAGGAACCTGGGCTTCTTGGACAAACTGCAGATTCTAAGTCTAGGACAAGAAAAGTTCGATGAAAGCCTATAATATCTTGTGCCAGAAAGTAGAGATGTTCTCAAAGATTTACAGTCATTTCAAAAGGACATGATCTGGCTTAAAGCTTGGGATCTATCTAAGCATCTAAATTAATGATGTTAAGTTTAATTATTACCTGACCAGATTTCAGCTTATAATATAAGTCTATAGTCATCAGAACAGCATGTTGTTGGCATAAAAACAGATATAGATCGCTGGAACAGAATAGAGAATTCAGAGATGAAACCAGTCTCATATAGCCATCTAATCTTTGACAAAGCAAACAAAAGCATTCACTAGGGAAAAGAACCCCTATTTAATAAATAGTGCTGGGAGAACCTGTTAACTACATGTAAGTGAATGAAATGGGACCCACACTTCTCACCACTTAAAAAATTAATTTGCAATGGATAAAAGATCTAAATTTTAAACATAAGACAATAAAAACCCTGGAAAATAGACACAATCCACAAAGCAAAAAAGATAACCTTCAGAATAGGAAAAGATAGTTCCATGCTACGAATCCAACAAAAGGCTAATCACCAGAATCTACAATGAACTCAAGTGTATCAATAAGAAAAGAGCAAACAACCCCATTTAAAAACTGGGCAAGAGACAAGAACAGAAACTTTTCTCATGAAGACAGAAGAATGTCAATAAACACATGAAAAAATGCTCAGAGAAATGCAAATCAAAGCCACTTTGAGATATCATCTAACTCTAGTGGGAATGGCCTACATTATAAGATCCCAAAGCAACAGCTGGTGGCATGGGTGCAGAGAGAAAGGAACACTAATGTGCAGTTGGTAGGACTGCAAACTAGTACAGCCTCTATGGAAAGACATATGGAGATTCTTCAAAGAAGTAAAAGTAGACCTACCATTTAATTTGGCAATCCCATTATTAGGTATTTACCCAAAGGAAAAAAAGACATTTTATGAAAAAGACACTTCCATTCAAATGCTTATAGCAGCGCAATTCATGATCACAAAGATGTGTAAACAACCCAAGTGCCCACTGACACATGAATGGATTAATAAACTGGTATATGTATACCATGGAATATTATTCATTCCTAAAAGAAAAGATGGAAATTTGTATCCTTTTAAACAACCTAGATGGACTTGTGAACATTCTCCTAAGTATCACAAGATTAGAAAAGTAAGCATCACACATACTCAATACCAATCTGAAACTAGATTAACCATAGACCCACACAAGAAAAAAAAATCTCAATTAAACTCAAGGTAGGCGGTGCTTGTGGCTCAGTGAGTAGGATGCCAGTTCAAACCCGGCCTAGCCAAACTGCAACAAAAAACAGCTGGATGATTGTGGTTGGTGCCTGTAGTCCCCACTATTCAGAAGGCTGAGGCAAGAGAATCACCTAAGCTCAAGAACTGGAGGTTGCTGTGAGCTGTGATGCCACTGTACTCTACTGAGGGTGACAAAGTGAGAATCTGTCTCTAAAAATAGATAAATAGGCTCAACGCCTGTGGCTCAAGTGGCTGAGGAGCCAGTCACATACACCTAAGCTGGAGGGTTCGAATCCAGCCCGGGCCTGCCAAACAACGATGGCTGCAACCAAAAAATAGCCAGGTATTGTGGGGGGCGCCTGTGGTCCCAGCTACTTGGGAGGCTGAGGCAAGAGAATCACCTAAGCCCAAGACCTGGAAGTTGCTGTGGGTTATGACGCCACAGCACTCTATGAGGGTGACAAAGTGAGACTCTGTCTCTTAAAAAAAAAAAAGAAAGAAAGAAAAGGCAGGGAAAACCATTCTAGATTAAGAAAAATTCAAAATATACTTAACCTCTGAAGTAGAACTGGATCCAGAATTTGAAAGGAAAGCAATAAAAGGCATTGAGACAACAGGAAATTTCAATGAGGTCTAAATATTACATGTTACTGAATTAATAACTACCTTGGATGTGGTAACATCACACCTATAACTAACTTACTGCCAAAATGGTTCAGGAAGAAAAAACATTTAGGTATATAAAGATGAAGCAAATGCAGCAAATGCTAACAATTGGTGAATTTAGAGAAATACTGTATTCTTTCAACTTTTCTGTATGTTTGTAACTTTCAAACTAGAAAGGGGAAAATTTTTCAAAACTTCTCCATTTGGCCAGGCACAACACTCTGGGAGACTGAGGTGGGTAGATTGCCTGAGCTCACGGGTTCGAGACCAGCCTAAGCCAGAGCAGGACCCCATCTCTAAAAACAGCTGGGCATTGGGGCAGGTGCCTGTAGTCCCAGCTACATGGGAGGCTAAGGCAAAAGAATAGCTTAAGCCCAAAAGTTTGAGGTTGCTATGAGCTGTGACACCATGGCACTCTACTGAGGGTGACAAAGTGAGATTGTCTCAACAACAAAAAACAAAACAAAGAAACTTCTCCATTTTATTATCTATTAAACTTTCCAAGAGCAAAAGATAGGTGTAAGCATAGTTTATGTGTGTCCTCAATCTTTTTGGATGGTATGTTATCATAATGCTTGAGATTAGGGACTTTGCAAATATTCTAAGTGCCTGAAAGTAGAATAGGAAAAGGGAAATTAACCTTTACTGAGTGTCTATATAACATGCCAGGCACTGTACTATATGCTTGTCTCTCTTGTTTTATCTTAACTACCCTCAGGGTAGTTTTATTTTATAATTATGGAAACTGAGACTCAGAAAAGTTAGGGAGCATGTGCAATAACAAATGGTGGGACTTAAGAAGTGGTGTAATTTTCATTCCTGGTAACAAATACTGAGGAAAACTCATCAGAATCCCAGTACGCTCAGTTTCATTTCAGAGAACCAATCACATCCACCCATCACCCACCAACATCATCAAACTCTGATAACACTGTACCATAGCAGTTTCTGCCTCCTACACCTTACCTCTCAATTAGCTGTTTCCCCAAGACGATCTTGGTCCCTTCAACCTTGATAAGTTCTTCATTATCATTATGAATGACTGTCTTTTCCAACTCCTCCTCCTGCTCCTCTGTCATGGCTACAGGGTTAGAAGGTGGAGCATTTGTTTGATAATAGAGGGGGCAAAATTTGTTTGTCCTCATGTGCCCAATGGCACCACACGCGCCACATTTCAGCTGCAAAGGAAAAGTATCAACATTTAAGAGGTAAGCAAGTAACAGAACAGTTGTCCCTCAGCATTTACAGGAGATTAGTTCCAGGACACCCTGAGTATACCAAAATCCATGCATACTCAAGGTCTGCAGTTGGCCCCATGAAACTCGTGTATACAAAAAGTGAACCCTAGCTCGGCGCCTATAGCTCAACCGGCTAAGGCGCCAGCCACGTACACCTAAGGTGGCGGGTTCGAATCCCCAGCCTGGACCCGCCAAACAACAATGACGGCTGCAACCAAAAAATAGCCGGGCGTTGTGGCGGGCGCCTGTGGTCCCAGCTACTTGGGAGGCGGAGGCAGGAGACTCGCTTGAGCCCAGGAGTTGGAGGTTGCTGTGAGCTGTAATGCCACGGCACTCTACCCAGGGGGACAGATGAGACTCTATCTCAAAAAAAAAAAAAAAAAAAGTGAACCCTCTTTATACATGGACTCCACATCCCATGATCTATGCCTATAACTGGACCTGTACAATTCAAAACCATGTTGTTCAAGGGTTATCTGTATATACAGAGGGTGACAAAAATATACATATAAATTTTAAGGAAGGAAAAAGTATATTAAAGTTTTAATAATATATACCAATAACAGGCCATGTACAGTGGCTCATGCCTATAATCCAAACACTCTGGGAAACCAAGGCGGGAGGATGCCTTAAGCTCAGGAATTTTAGACCATCCTGAACAAGAGTGAGACCCCATCTCTACTAAAAAAATAGAAAAAATTAGGCAGGTGTTGTGATGGGTGCCTGCAGTCTCAGCTACTCAGGAGGATGAGGCAGGAGGAGTTCCTGAACCCAGGGAGTTTGAGGTTGCTGTGAGCTAGGCTAGTAACATAGCACTCTAGCCTGGGCAACAGAGTGAGACTCTAATAACAAAATATAATTCTGGGCGGCGCCTGTGGCTCAAAGGAGTAGGGCACTGGACTCATATGCCAGAGGTGGTGGGTTCAAACCCAGCCCTGGCCAAAAATTGCAAAAAAACAAAATATAATTCTGCTAACAAAACATGAATACAAGTCACATTGACCATATCTTATAATTGTGTAAGTCAAGCATGCCTGGAGTATTACAATTTTTAATAGTTTTTTTCTTTCTTAAAATGTGTATACATTTTTTTGGCACCCTGTGTACAAGGCAGGGGAGAAACAAGAGCAGCTTCAGAATTTTTGCTCTAATACATTTGTTATACACCTATCAACCAGAACCCACTGGGCAAAAGGGCACGTATGGAAATTACACATGATAAATAAAATGAAATCCAGGTAGGTCACTTCCTCTCAAGCTTAGCAGTTGGTCAGCAGGGACCCAAGCAGGTTCAACATGCATACTGAGAAGTGATACTTCTGTTCGGATCCACTCTACCCTGGCCACAGCATGATGTTAGTCCACAATGATTACAACGTGAGGGTGGAAATATGGGAGGACTGGGCAGTGGAAACTGAGGCAGTGGAGAATACCTTCTTTTTTTTTTTTTTCTGAGACAGTCTCACTATGTCGCCCTGGGTAGTTTCATGGTATCACAGCAACCTCAAACTCTTGGGCTTAAAACAATTTTCTTGCCTCAGCCTCCCAAGTAGCTGGGACTACAGGCACCTGCCATAATGCCTGGCTAAAGAATACCTTCTTGATGTGCCTAACTAAAATGAGTTTTGCTAAGTTCAAAGTTTTAATGAAATTACATAAATCATAGTTTAACAAGTTTGAGATTTGATTGATTATGGCAGGTAAGTTAATAGTCAAGGAAATAGAGATTGGAGATATGGATATTAAAAAGAGTATATACACAGTCAAACCACATTGTGTATCAATAGAAAAATCTGTTGAAATATGCAACAGCAGAGGCCTCTACCAAATGACAAGAATGGTCTTGGTGAGGCTTCCTTTCCCCTAAGTGAGGATCTGGAACTTTTCCCAACTACAACCCTCAGTGAAAGTCCCTGACAGAGATTTTGTGAAGGCTTGACCTCTTCTCTCAGTAAGAGTCTGTACAGAGGTCTATGAAAATAATCAGCAGGGTACAGGACTTGCTGGAAACAGCACAGACACCAAGACCTCGATAAGAAAGAAACATTTTCTTGGAGAGATAAGAGGAAAATGCCTCTTTCTCTCTAGCTCTTAACATAAGTATGGCATCAGCCTGTCTGCCCAGCAGGGACTAGGTAGCTTAACTGCTGCCTCAAGAAACTGTTTGCATGGTCAAACTGGGGTCTGCACTCACATCCTGCTTCTGAGTTGTGTTCCTTGTTTCATGAACTGCATCTCCCTCTTAAACTTATAAATAACTTAAAGTGAAAAGAGAAGTAATTTCTTATTTTTTTTTTTTTAGACAGAGCCTCAAGCTGTCCCCCTGGGTAGAGTGCTGCGGCACGACAGCTCACAGCAACCTCCACCTCCTGGGCTCAAATGAGTCTCCTGCCTCCACCTCCCAAGTAGCTGGGACTACAGGCACCCGCCACAACACCCAGCTATTTCTTGGTTGCAGCCGTCATTATTGTTCGGCAGGCCCAGGCTGGATTCGAACCTGCCACCTTAGGTATACGTGGCTGGCACCTTAGCCACTTGAGCCACAGGTGCTGAGCCAAGAGAAGTAATTTCAAGAGTCAGTTAAAAAGTAACTTAGTTGGTAATGTGGGCACCATAAGAACAATGACATACACTGCATGGGCTGATTTTACTAATCAATTGATTTGCTGATTAAGCAATAATGTATACAATAAAAACAGAGTCAACCCAGAACAAAAAGCTGTCACCTGTCCTCAGTATTTGGAGGTGTCTGTGCCCTGGGCCCGATTGTTTAAATTATAGTTTGTCTCTGCCTTTTTATTTCTTTCATTCTCTTGTCACTGTCAGGCACTAGGAAAGAACCATGGTGCAGTTTGAGGCTGATCCCCAACAACAAGGTGTTCAGATTTTGTAAATGCAAATGTCATAAAAACTTTTAAAAGAAGCCTAATCATGGCCAGGCACGGTGGCTCACACCTGTAATCCTAGCACTCTGGGAGGCTGAGATGGGTGGATTGCTTAGCTCAGGAGTTCAAGACCAGCCTGAGTAAGAGCGAGACCCTATCTCTAAAAATAGCCAAGCAAAATAAAAGTTAAAACATAAAAAATAAAAGCAGCCGGGTGTTGTGTTATGTGCCAGTAGTCCCAGCTACTCAGGAGACTAAGGTAAGAGAATTGCTTGAGCCTATGAGTTTGAGGTTGCTGTGAGCTATGATGCCATAGCACTCAACCCCAGGGCCACTAAGTAAGATTCTGTCTCAAAAAAGAAAAATGTAAAACTGTGATATATGTACACCATGGAATACTATGCAGCCCTAAAGAAAGATGGAGACTTTACCTCCTTCATGTTTACATGGATGGAACTGGAAAATGTTCTTCTTAGCAAAGTATCAAAAGAATGGAAGAAAAAGTATCCAATGTACACAGCCCTGTTATGAAACTAATTTATAGCTCTCAAATGAAAGCTACAACCTAATTCTAGCCCAAGAATATGGGGAAGGGGTGAGGGAGGGGAGGGGAGAAGGGCAGATGGGTGGTGGGAGGGTGACTGGAAAGATCACCTATATGGTCTGTCTAACAAGAGTACAAGTGAATTTTTCCAGAACTGGAGTATAAATGTTTTAACGCAATAACTAAGTAAATGACACAAAGTCTATGTTAACCAGTTTGATGAAAATATTTCAAATTGTATATGAAAACACTACA